CCCCCACGCTCCTCAGGCGGAAACCACCACGATCCCATCCTGCAGAACGCTTAAGGGGACATGGCACATGTGCCCAGAGTACGCCCGGATTTCCTGTCCGCGCCAATCACTTCCGTCGGGGCAAAGCCGGCCAATGGCGTGGACGTGGAGGCGGGCCTATGTGTTTCCAGGCTCCTCTCCACCCGTTGTTTTCTGAGAGGCGGGGGAAATCCGGCCAATGGCTTGGAGGCGGAGGCGGGCCGATGTGCTTCCAGGCTCCTCTCCACCCACTGTTTTCTGAGAGGCGGGGGAAAGCCGGCCAATGGCGTGGAGGCGGAGGCGGGCCGATGTGCTTCCCGGCTCCTCTCCACCCGCTGTTTTCTGAGAGGCGGGGGTAGGCCTGGCAGCGGGTGCGGGCCCCATGGCTGCTGCAGGGAAACTCAGCACCTATCGTCTCCCACCGTTGCCCACGATTCGAGAAATCATTAAGTTATTCAGACTACGAGCATTGAAGCAGCTGTCCCAGAACTTTCTCCTGGACTTGAGACTGACAGGTGGCTGGCTGTTTCGTGCTCCCGGCTGTCTCCTTGGGCCGAGGGCAGGGGGCTCACGCGGAGCCTGCGGGCGGGTGGCCGGGGTCTGGCACCGGGTGTGCAGCGGGCTTTCGATCGTGCCCTTGTACCACTTTCTGCTGAAACATCTCTCGAGTCCCACCCCAGGAGGCGCGTGCAATTCGTTGTTTGCCACCAAGATCCCCGTATAGGGGCGCGTGGCAGTGGGTTTTGGGCGCAGTGGTTGCAGACCCTGCGCAAACACCCGGGAGGCGGAGTTCACTCACCGCGGAGGGAGTCGTGGACACTTAGATCTCGGCGTGTTAACACCGGTGTTACTGCACGTGTTGACTGTTTGCAATTCATACAGTTTAAAGTTAGCCCACTGCTGTCCAGTTGATGACGATTCAGTGACCTTAGAGAACAGCGTTGCCCCTTAGGGCTTTCAAGGCAGTAAGTCTTCATGGAAGCTGGTGGGTTCGAACTGCTGACCGTCTAAGAGTTAAGATTACAGAGTCTGGGTGCTATCGTCCACTCTTCCTGTGGGTGAAGAGAGATTGGGAGGTTCATCTGAGATGAGCAGCTCAGGCTGGGGCAGAGCTGAAACCTCCATGATTCCATAGTGCGCCCTTTGCATTCATTTGTATCTCAGTGGGTCTGTCTCTCCTGCCCACTGCCCTAGTTCCCCTTTGTAAAAATGGAGACTATGAACTTTACTCCGTAATACCTGGGCTTGGTACAGCATTGCTGCCGAGGGCTGTCGACCAGAGTCGGACCCCCTCCTCTACTCTCTAGGTTACTTTGCACAGTCCAACAACTGACAAGGAGATAAGTTCAGAGGCATTCATGGGGTGGGGGGTAGTTCTTGTGATGATTGAGAGAATGTATATTAAGTACAAATAGGTGGTCAGTTAATTCTAATTGCCTCCCAGCACCCATAAAACTATTTTTGACGGTTGAGAGACTATTTTTGCCTGTAAGTCTACAAAGGTAGGTTATTGATAACAAGCAAAAATGGGACTGAACAGTAAGTACCCAGTGAACACTGCCAGTGGTGCTGGTGGTTGTCAGTGGCTAAGTTCCCACTAGGCTAAGAGGTCCAGTTGAGTGGATTTTAATATCTCAGTCAAGAAGACTAGCTCTAGCTTGTGTTGTTGTTGTTATGTGCTGTTGAGTCGGACCGACTCATAGCAACCCCTCCTTGGGTTTCTGAGGCAGTATCACTATGGAAGTAGATTGCCCCATCTTCCTTCCGAGGAGTGGCTGGTGGGTTTGAACCACCAGCCTTCTGGTTAGCAGTCAAGTGCCTTAGGCACTATGCTACCAGAGCTCCTAGCTTGTAGTATGTTTTTTTTTTTCTCCAGAATTGATATTAGTTGCAATGATTCATCAATACACTGCTTTTATAGGATTTCTTCAGGTGTGCTAACTTTAGTTGATGAACTTAAAAATCATTTCCATATTAACATGCACGTTTGCAAAGCTTTAAAAAACCTCCACTGCAAAATGTAACTTTTGCCTGAGAATGACCAAGAATCCCAGTGTCTCTGATCTGGCAGCTTGTTGCTGTCACCGTACTGACTGACAGTTAGATGTCTGAAGGTGAGATACAGAGGCGGCCAGAACTTACTGCTTTGGGAATTTCAACTAGCAGCCTTGAAGGTTCTTGTAAAACCAGTCTGAATGACTGAAATACTCAGTGTTCCATGACTACAGAAAAACAGCTCTTGCTTCTTCCTAGGAGTTACTTGGTTTGGTGACAGAACCATGTTAGCTAAATGTCACCTAAGGAATTTTGTGATAATCCTTTTTTTGCTAAGGGACTGTACAGTTCAGCAATGAATGTGGTAGAATGTCGAATGGTCACTGCATGTTCTTTTAGGTTTAGAGTTACATAACACATTTTACACAAATAACTTGCACATTGTATGTTTTCACATACCACACAACTCTGTATGTTATTTTCATAAACATGCTATACCATTATTATTTATTTTTTTTTTTACATGTTGCCAACTTCAATTTCAGTTTCTTTTTCTGCCAGCTGGATTTAATGTTAAGTCTTCGTCTTGGTTTGCTTCCAGCGGACCCTCACCAGCCTCCCATTGAGTTTCTAAGGCAGCCCCTCCCCCGGCAGGCTTCCTTTTCTGCTCTGCGAGCCACCTTCTCTAGTACAGGAAGAAATTGCTTGTTTGCTCCAGTACCAGCATTTGTCAGGGTGGCTGGCCTCAACCTGGGAGATGCCAGTGTCTACACCCCAGGCTGGAGAGGCTGCGAAGGTAGGCGAGGCCAGTGCATGCAGCCATGCTCATACCGTTCTGCTGTCCAGCTGGCTGGCCGCCGCACTCTCCCAGTTGAATCGCCTGTCCATGGAGACGCCATGGGGGGAGCATGAGAGCTGCAGGTGCAGAGGTCGCTCATCCTTCACTTGGATGAGACGAGTCCGACTGGTCACCCAGAAGCCCTGCAGAGCTGTAGTAGTGCAGGGCTATACCTGCACCGTCCTGCCACCTGGCTGCATGTAGGGCTGGTACCGTGGGGCCCAGGTGCACTTGGGCAGCCCTGTGCACAGCCCTCCATGTGCGTCCTGCCACCTGGCTGCATGTAGGGCTGGTACCGTGGGGCCCAGGTGCACTTGGGCAGCCCTGTGCACAGCCCTCCATGTGCGTCCTGCCACCTGGCTGCATGTAGGGCTGGTACCGTGGGGCCCAGATGCGCTTGGGCAGCCCTGTGCACAGCCCTCCACGTGCGTCCTGACACCTGGCTGCATGTAGGGCCGGTACCGTGGGGCCCAGATGCGCTTGGGCAGCCCTGTGCACAGCCCTCCACGTGCGTCCTGCCACCTGGCTGCATGTAGGGCCAGTACCGTGGGGCCCAGGTGCACTTGGGCACAGCCCTCCACGTGACTCTTCGGCCCATCTCCAGCACCCTACCTGGACGCACATTAGCTGCAAGGACTCCATTGCTCTGAGACCCAGCTGCAGACTTCCCCAGAGCAAATGCACAGTTTCAGCCATTTATTTTCCAATTACCAGTGGATCCAACACGATCCATGACTTCTCTTATTATACAGATTTGATTGGAATTGACAATTTTAGGCTTGAATAGGGCCAAAATTTGCTTCTGGAAACGTCACAAGACATGCGCATTGTGTGTATGGATGTGCTATGCTGGAACTATTTTTTCATAATTTCATAATTTCCACCTATTATATGCACGTGTACATGTTGTTTACAAGGGTGTGCTATTTGTGAAAAAAATATGGCAGTTGCATAAATACTGTATGTTAAGAATTGCTTGGTTGCATAGTGGCCAGTAAGAATTTTTATAGGTTATTTTTCTTTTTAAATTCCATACATTGCAGTTTTCTAAGAAGTTCAATGTAACTAAAGGATGCTTTCTTTTCTCTAGATAAAATAGTAAGGAAAGCTGGCAATCTGACAAACGCGTATGTTTATGAAGTGGGCCCTGGGCCGGGGGGCATCACAAGGTCTATTCTCAACGCCAATGTTGCCGAGCTCCTGGTTGTTGAAAAGGACACGCGATTCATTCCTGGGTTACAGGTGAGAAGCTTAAAATGTCTTTTTTCAGGAAGCAAAACCTCAATTTAAATGAACTTCACAGTGTCCAAGAATTGTGTAGGTCACGTCTCAAACTCCCCAGACCCCGTCTGAGTGACTTTGATTCTGTAGTTCATCAGGGTCTAGGATCCGCATTTCTGACTCCCCCAGGTGATTGTGATGCAGGTGCTTGTTGAGCACAATTGAAATACACCTGCTGTACACACTGATGCTAAGAAACTCATTGTTCTATGGGATTATATGTTTTGTGTTATTTACTGATACCTATACATGTTATGAGGAGATCTGGTAGCATAGTGCCTAAGGCACTTGACTGCTAAGCAGAAGGGTGGCGGTTCAAACCCACCAGCCACTCCTCGGAAGGAAGATGGGGCAGTCTACTTCCATAGTGATACTGCCTTGGAAACCTAAGGAGGGGTTGCTATGAGTCAGGTCAGACTCCACAGCACATAACAACAACAACAACGTACATGTCATGGAGCTCTGGTGGCGCAGTGGATAAGGCATTTGGCTGCTAACCAGAAGGTCAGTGGTTCAGACCCACCAGCTGCTCTGTGGAAGGAAGATGGGGCAGTCTGCTTCCATAAAGATACGCAGCCTCAGAAACCCAGTGGGAATCACTAGGAGGTGGAATCGACTTAATGGTGGTGGGTGTTTTTTTTTGGTTTATATATGGTATGTCCCATTCCTTAAAAAACCAAGTTAAATAATTTCCTGAATAAGAATCGGTACAAGGCTGGTTTCTAGGTGGCAGAGTTCAAATACAGTAAAATCTGTAAAAGCCAAAACCTGTGTAAGACAGAAACCTGTCAGAGAAGGAAAACACAAATATTGTCCATTGAAACAAGTGATAGAAAAGTGGTAAGACTACATCCTGTCAGAGGTGGAAAACTTGTGAGACCTAGAAACAAGGCAGAGCCATCGAATTGCGTTTGGGTCCTCACCACTTTCACTGTTGATCTCCACTGTCCAGGGTCCCCATTCTCCCCGACACCAACTGTTCCCCCACTCACGTACTTTCTCTGCTGAGTTCGATAATTTGCTGTAGTGTCACCCAGAACTCAGACTGTATATAATGGTTGTGTAGTTTATTAGGATAAAGCACCCAACTCAGAAGTAACAGGTTACGTACAAGCAGCAATGACACTCGGGCCCCATGGAGAGGTACTCAGGTGAGGTTTGGAAAGGTCCCCAAAGTGGCAGGAACGTCCTGGAAAGGTCCCCAAAGTGGCAGGAACGTCCTTCCCCGGCAAGCTCTTGTGTGGGATCCTCTCCCTCAGGAAGCCTCCTGGAACCCGTGGTTTTGGGCTTTTGTCAGCACATCCCCACACTCCCTGGTTACCAGGTGGACTCACATCCCAGCTCCTATGCATTCACACAAACCCTCGGCCGTGGCTACCACAGCTCAGGTCCTCAGAGTAACTCACAGAGACCAGGACAAAGGCAGTGCTTAAAGTGAGGTAACTCAGCCCCACATCAAAATGGCCAAGGATGACTCAGTTCTTGGTGTAACTTTTAAGAACTTCCACAGTGGCAGAAAGAAGACCATAGGGTAGCCTTCATCGAAAGACACTAATTGTGAGGCTTAGGTGTTTTCTTAAGTATAACTTTGTTAAGCTCACGTCGTTTCATTTACTTACTTACTTTATCATTGCTTTTGAGAAGGCACACGGCAAAGCATGCTTCTACCCGTGCAGTTCACTGAGGTGGAGTCCGTTCACCAAGGTGTGCAGCCATTCCCCCTCCTCTCTGAGGTGTTCCTCCACCGTCAACATAACTCACTACCCCTGACAGTTCTTACCTAATCTTTGGAGTTGCTTTTGTCAGTTTGATCCCATACAGATAGTTCCAACACTCGAGGCAGACATTTTTTACTAGTTAGGCTAAACTACTGTTTGGTTTTAAAAAGGCTTTAGGGGTTATTTTTGGTTTAAGATTTAAAAATTAGAGCAATAGTTTCAGAGGTTCATCCATCATTTCAGAGGTTCAGAGTTGGAATCGACTCAGTGACAACTGGGTTTTTTTGATCTGTCATCTACCTGCCTGTCTAAATACGGTAGCTGATTAGATGTGTCATTGAATAGTGAAAGTGAGTAATTGTGTATCAGTTGGCGCCTGCTTGGCTCCAAAGAGTGTGGAGTCTTTGAAAATTTGGAATTCTGTTCTGTGTTCTACCCCTTTTGATAGGATTCTTTTGTGGAATCTTTGATTCACATGGCAGAGGTGGCTGTGGGCATGGGGGCACTTAGCTGCACATTCCATAGCCTCCTATTCCTGACTCTTCTCCCTCTGTTGCTGCAGCAAACAGAAACCACTGGTGCCTTGGATGACCCCTTGCAAGCTTTTCAGACCCCAGACACTGTGTAATGAACTAGAAGGTGAAACAGAAGCACTATATACAGTATTAGGCACATTGACCAGGATGTCCCATGAAACCATGACCCTAAGCCTCCAGACCGAAGAACCAAAGCCTAAGAGGTGTTTGATTGTACATAAAGGCTTCAAAAAAAAAACTACCATCGAATCAATTCCGACTCATAGCAACCCCCATTGAGTTTCCAAGGCCGTAGTCTTTATGGAAGCAGACTGCCCAATCTGTCTTCTGCAGAGTAGCTGATGAGTTCGAACTGCCAACTTTCTGGTTAGCAGGCAAATGCCTTGACCACTATACCATCGGAACTCCTACATAAAGGCTTAGACATTCTTACAAGAGGCTTTTTAAAGGGAAGGAATGAAGTTGAACCACTGTATGCTAGATTTGTGATGAAGTTTGAGTGGAGTGATACATGGGCTTTAAAACATCGGGTACTGTTATGTGGGGAAAACTTGCTGTGTTTCAAGTGGAGAAGAAAAGAGAGAGAATTCAGAGCTGCCTTTCAAAGGGTGGCGGTGGACGGCATGGTAAGCATGTCTTGAACTTCTCTAAGAAAGGACTGAAATGAACAGGTGTGAATTGAGGGAGAATGATGTAGATTTAAAACTGTAAAGAGGCACTTAGGCAGTTGTTGCTGTCAGGTGTCGAGTTGGTTCCGACTTACAGCGACCCTGCGTGCAACAGAAAAACACACAGCCCAGTCCTGCTATGTATGATTTCAAAATAAAGAGGAACTTCCATTTTTTACCACGTGGCTAACAGTTGAACAGATTATATCAGGGAGCTTGTAAAGGGAATGCTTCCTGGGGGGCACATTGCACTTAATGACTTACAGGCCTCTGGTAGGCGCTCCTGTAATAGTCAAACTTGAGCCCTTCGTCCTGGGCCAGATGAGGAGCAGTTTGTTGGCTGAGTACAACAGAATCAGAAAATCGTTCACACGGCGAGATTGTCTTCATGCTCCAAGAGAGATTGGATTTAAAGTTAGTACATTGTAATACTTACCTGTGTATGTGTTAGTGCTACAATGTTTAATTTCTATTAGAACCAAGTGAATTTGTCTGAAAATCTAGAACGTGTACACATACATGATTTTTTCAAAAAACCTAGTGAATTTTTTTCCCTAGTTATTTTGTTATATCCAGGTTTTATGCTTTAAAAATACGTATTAATTTAGTTTTGCCAGGCTTTACTGACAGAATGGTTTCAGATCGCTGGCTGTGTTTTATGATTGTTACATGTATGGATTCCATGACCAAATGTGGAATTTAATAGTGATTTTTGCCTTGTGCTGCTATTTTATTTTAAGAACTCAGGTGGTGCAAACAGTTAAGTGCTCAACTACTAGTTGAAAGGCTGGCAGTTCAAACTCACCTTAGAAGACAGCCCTGGCCATCTGCTTCTGAAGCATCAGCCATTGAAAGTCCCGTGGAGCAGTTCTGACCTGGTGCACGTCGGGGCACCATGAGTTGGAATCGACTCAGTGACAACTGGGTTTTTTTGATTTGTCATCTACCTGCCGGTCTAAATACGGTAGCTGATTAGATGTGTCATTGAATAGTGAAAGTGAGTAATTGTGTATCATTTATTAAAAAGTTTTATGCCTTTTTTCCCCCTTAATGTGAAGTTTAATTTCAAGGTAAATTATGCTGCAGGAAATGTATATTTGACTTCTCATCTGTGTCAGTAGAAGAAGCAAAATTAATTCTTTGTCTCTTATGTGCGTAAAGGGATTTGCCTTGAAAAGAAATGTTAGGTACTAAAATATCAAATAGGCTTCTTTCCAGTAAAGAATGTTTCAATATGTAAAACCACTCTCTTTTAGAGGCACTGAGTTAATCATAAAACTGAATAAGGCAGAAAGAAGAGTGACCTGTTTTAAGGATTGCATTTTAGTGATTTCTAAGCTATTTTAAAGCAATTGTTAATAATTTATAAAACGTCTTTCAGCTGAAGGCATGTTACCTGTGGCTCTTAGAGTGTCGTGGGGCAGCTTAGGGGAAAGACCAGCTGGTGATCATGCGTGGGTTTCCCTGTCAGCAGGCTATAAAGATAAGAAAACATGGCTGGGACACATGACTGTGCTACAGTATGGATATGAACTTCAGCATTAGACTGCCTGGGTTTGACTTCAGGCCTTGCCGTTCACTCCAGTGTGTCCTTGGGCAGGTCACTGTCTGTTTGCCGGTAGAAGATTACACGAATGCCTCACAGTGAGCACGCGATAAATCGCAGCTATCAATAATGAATTGAGTGATGAGTTGTCTCTGTGCCTTGAGCACTTCCGGTGATAAAGAATCGATCAGGAGACTAATCTAGGAAGAGGCAAGGGGGAAGGGACTGCTCTCCCTGTGGTGCACCAGAAAGTTCCCGTGACACGAGGGGTCACCGTGTGTCACGTCAGCAGCACTAGGTCTGGCCTTGGTGGCAGCCTTGGTGCTCTGCCTGACTCGGCAGTCACTGCACAGCCACTTCTCACCATGGTGTGGCATTCGCCCGTGAGTGGTATTTCTAGGATTTTGTTTTTAAATTTCTGCTGGGGTGTTGCTCTTCTGTTGTATGGGTCGGGAGGGTTCTCTGTGCCTTAGAAGGGAGTTAGGAGATTTCC